GCGAAAAAGTATTTACCCTTTCCAATATGAAACATTTCCACATATAAAATAAATAAAATATCCAAAAACTTTTACCTCTAAATCATCTATTACACTATACACGTCACCAACGAATTCATACCGCAAACCATTACAAATACTTAGTATCAAATATTTAAATTATTTCCATGCACGTTTATTTCAACTTAAACCTATACCAAATTCCTACAAACATAAAATTCACAAAATAACTATCATTTAATTAAAATATCACTAAACCATGTACACGTCGACTTATTTTTACTTAAAAAAACATCCCAGAATTGCACAAAAATGGCATTGCGCACACTCTTCACTATATCCATGTACACTGCTTTTTTCTCATAAATTAGAAAAATTTCACAAAAATACACGACAATTTTCTCAATCTTTAAACCCAGTAAAAAGAACATATTTGAAATTACCTGATCGCGAAAAAGTATTTACACTTTACAAATATGAACATTTCCACATATAAAATAAATAAAATATCCAAAAACTTTTACCTCTAAATCATCTATTACATTATACACGTCACCAACGAATTCATACCGCAACCATTACAAATACTTAGTATCAAATATTTAAATTATTTGCATGCACGTTTATTTCAACTTAAACATATACCAAATTCCTACAAACATAAAATTCACAAAATAACTATCATTTCATTAAAATATAATTAAATTCAAAAACACTACTTAAAATATAAATGGGCACATACATTAAATTAATAAAAAAATTACCTTACAATCCTAATTACTTTAAACTAAATCACTGCTAATAAAAACATTTTCCCAATAATACCAAATTCCTTTCCATCTTACATTTAGAACAATGCATAAAAAATAATATCCTCAAATAATTAAAAATACTAACTTACCTAATCTTCTTCAGAATCTTGATTACGTGGCGGATACACTTTTCTAATTCATTCAATAAAAATTATTCAAAGATTTTTTCTGCGAATTTTTCCTCCATACTTCCTCCGCTAAATAAAAAGCAAACTTCTCTTTATCACAATGCCTAAATACCCATTTCGAATCACTTTAGTTAGGGCCATGGGATCCAAAAATTACACAACACTGTTTCACACAACACAGAATAAAGCTAAATACAAAATTTCCACATTTTTCCCTGATTTCCCCCCTTTTCCGATTAAAGAACCGTAATTCGTCCATTAATATCACATGACATATCCCATGATCTCTCATTTCCCTCACGCAAAATAATGCATAATCGGAACTGAGTACTGCTCACATTATTACCAAAGTCCCAGGTCGCCTTTATCGCCTCCAAAATGTCGCCAAACTACCAGTTACCATATTGTAAAGATCAACCCCATTTTGTAATGTATAAAAATGTATTCTGTAGAAAAATAAATATTTTTTGTACAAATATATGCAGTTTCTTAACATACATTTCAAACTTCAGATCTCAGCAAAAACATTAAAGAAGTTATCTGGAGTTCAAATCAAAAAATGATGATTATAAGAAAAGGTTAATTGTAAACTGGCAGGATCACCCAACAAGTTTTTAAATTAACTATAATCATCATCAGCTACTAAATAACAAATTACAGAAAATTTTGATTAAGTATGTAGTTTGAACATCTCTACAAAAGAGTACACTAAACAAGATACGTCCTAAGACCAATACAGTACTTTATTAAGATGAAACTAGCTTACCATAATGTCACCAGAACCTGTACTTAAAGAAATCTTGGATACCGACTAAGGTAACATGAAACTTCCAATTTTAATGTTCCAGTACCCAGCGAAAACTTATAACTATAAAAGTAAGAAATTGGCTAAAACGATGTTCATCAAATAATTAGTATGAATTTTCCTAAAGATGAACCGGATTGGAAATTTTCTAAGTCATATTATTACTGAATGCCATAAAATGGAGGAGGGGGAAAAATCACCAGAAATTATTTAGTCTATTCCAAGTAGGAAAATTTGGCTTTTTATTATCACAGTAAAATATTTGGCAAAGTAAATATATGATGTAGCATTATTTAAATATGTGACTCAGTAGGGCTTTAGTATATACACACTCTAGAGTAGTGGTGCACAACCTTTTTAACATAAGGGCCACTCACAAAACCGACTTGCTTCTCAAGGGCCAAGAGTGTATGAAAAAAATAAAAAAGTGGGGGGGGGGGGGGCAATGCAATAATTTGCAATTTAAACATGTACCATATCAAATTTAATATGAATTGCAGACTATTACGTATGTACAACATTACATACATATAATTATTTTTCTCTCCCTTTTTACTAGCGCACCCCTGCTACATCAAACCACAGACCCTTTCTGTGCGCCATACAGGCTAGGAACAGTTTTCACGCTCTGGTGGTGAAACTTGCTTTAATTGAAGGCGGGAACTTTGCTCAATGACAAATATCACTTCCAGAGAACACAGTAGAATTGAGTAACGAAGGGGGAAACGGTGAATTGTTTTCTGCTCACAACTCCTTTTAGAGACAACCGATATGTCATATCGAAAAAAAATTTTGAGGTCTCGGCAGGACACAACGTGACCACTCGTGGGCCATAGGTTGTGCATCCCTACTCTAGAGTTACCATATTTATGCGAATCTAATGCGCATCCCCATTTTAAAACTTTAAATAATAAAAAAATTGTTTGTCGGCGAATGTAATGCGCATCAATGATATGAGGAATTTATTGAATCTTATTTTATACAACAATGGATTTGTATATAAACTATCAATTAATGGTATGATAATTTTATTTAAATTTAGATACCATATTTTATACAACAATGGATTTATACATAAAGCAGCAGAACATAGAATTAACCTATTAGTGGTCTATTGTCATGTGAAACAATCATTGTTAATTAGCACTACCGTATATACGGTACCTATCGTAAAATATGAACATGAAATAAATCGTAACATTTCTATCTAGCTAACAGTTTCTACAATCAGTGATTAATAGTAAATTTTCATTCTTAGGGGTTTTAGGGCATGTTTTCCGTTTGAGGATTAAGAAAGGGGGAAGTTTGCACTCGTCTGCTGTTATTGCCAGCATCACTGTTACGCGTTGTTTTTCACATCCCGAAGTTTTACGATACCTTCCTTGGTCCCCTTCTCCGTAATGGTGTAGTTACGAGGCATATCAAACCAAATTGCCATCTCGTCAGCGTTGCCAATTTGCCCCATTGAAAAATTCTTTTCCTTCCGAAGTGTGAGAAGACATACCGCTGAAATGTTAGTAGTTTTTCCCTCAAAATCTGCAGGACAGCTTTTGGCCATATTGTTGTACAGTGTCTTAGAGATAAGCCCATCCACTTCATAAACCGATCCACCCATCCACGGCTAGCCTTAAACTCTTGTTTCGGTATTCCAAGAACTTCAGCCTCCTCTTTTGCTTTATTTCTTATGGTGTCACTAGTCACAGGTTGTCCATTCTTCCTCCTTTCACGTACAAATTCCAAAACATTTTCTTCAATTTTAGGGTGTCTTCCTTTGCGAGGGCCAGTGAATTTCTTTCTACTAGCTTTAGTTGCAAACAGTGCCAATTTCTGTTGACGCCACAAGCGAACATTGCTCTCAGTTACGTTGAACTCTCTCCCTGCCTTTCTATTGCAATTTTTTTCAGCATAAAGAATTACTTTATGTTTGAAAGTAGCGTCACATGACATTCTTCTCTGTTTGCCCTCCATTTCGTGACTACGTACTCTGCAGTTTGTATCCTCTATGCAATAATGTGTCAACGATAAATGTAACGGTAAATGTAGTCGAGAAATTTGGTTGACGTCATCGGCGAACTTTGCACTCGAATCTAATGCGCACCCCAATTTTGAATACTACATTTGGCCAAAAACGATGCGCATTAGATTCGCATAAATACGGTATATTAAGAAGTTTTTTTTCTGCCATAATGTGCCAAAAAACAATCATAATATTGAGAAATGATTTTATATTCGAATTGATTATATAAGCTAAAATCAGCAGTCAAATTTATTACAGGTATTGAATTATGCTCATTTTTATGTGCCAAAAATTGAGTTGATTTGTGGATAGCCTCAAAAGATTAAGCATTCTTCTGATGCAGTATCCGTATGCTCCCAGAAAGATGGGAAAATGTAGTGACTAGAGGTGGACAACACTTTGAATAAAACATAACATGCCATTCTTTCACAATAAATGCAGCCAAGCTATCAGTGTCAAAGGGTGCTCTACATTCTGGCATATCACCTACATGATCGAATGAACTTTTAACAAAAGGTCTACGGAAGAAAGTTGAAACAGAAATAATCAATTTTGTAAACAATGGATATTCTTATTTTCCATCTTCTCTCTGCCTAAATTTACAATACCAGTTTTTCCTGTTTCTGCACTAATGTTTAAAGATATCTGCACTTAATGTTTACATAGGGTTTACAACAAAGGGTTTTCATTTTATGTAATATCTGAATGATATATTTTATCCAAAACAAAATTTTAGAACGATAACGATAATATTGATATTTCATTATTTTCTTAATAAAAATAATTTGAGATAACAATGGTTGAAGAAAGTCTTAGTAACTTGTCAATAATGCCAATAGAAAACTATAATGGAGATTTCAGACACACAAGAATTTATCAAAATATGATTAAGAATTTTGTAGCAGTTAAAGTCACGAAAATGTAATGACGGACACGAGATAAACTCATCTAAAATATTTTGCAATTTTTTTGCCATGACTGACAAAATTGATTTATTTTTACATACAGAGAGGTATAGCTTGTATTTAATAAGGTAAATAAACATAAGTTTCTTAGAATTAATTTCACTTTAATTTGCAAATTATATAACTTATGACCTTGTGAGGATGCTGAAATACAACCTTGTACAACAGCGCTTCGTACTTTTGTGCGCGGCCTGGCATTCATAAGAATAAAATAACTTGGTTATAGTAATAAGGATGGCTTCAAATAAAAAGCACTTCAGAACAATATCTCACCTTATTCATCTTTTGAGCACTTTCCAGTGGGCGATTCATGTTCCAACTAGAATAACAAAATTTGGATATTATTGTATGCATAAAACTGTTAAGCACTTTTAAAGGAGCAAAGATTATTTATATAACATAAATGTTTAATAAATACATGATATTTTATTAACCGTTCGAAATATGAACAAAATTAAAATTATACTCTATCTTTCCCGCTTTATACAAATTTAAAAGACTCCCAGTTACAGTTAGACTTTTCACAGTCCTTGAAAGCGGAACAAGGATATTTGTTGGACAGTGTCCTAAAGACTTTATCAATATCTTCGTTTGTTCTTTCCCTAGTTAAGAAGTAGTAGAGCAAAGTAGATAAATTATGTAAAGCAGAAGTTCTCAAACTGTTTCATTTTTATCCTGCATAAATAAGAATCAAAAACAAATAAAGAGAGGAAAAAATAAATCAAAAGAGAAGTCATTCTACATTCATTTAAATCCTTTTTGTAACATATTGTACCAATAAAAATAATGTAATGTACCATAAGTGGTACGTGTACCACAGTTTGGAAAACCCTGATCTAAAGGGAAGGTACATTACACACTAACCACAGTCAGTTGAAATATTTGAACTGAAAAAAAGACAAAGCTACATGGTTTCCCTCATTTGTAATGTGTTTCTTTAAAACGTTCTCTACAAAGATGTCTTTTTCTTTAGGAAGAGAGCCTTTGAGTGCTTTGCCTTAATTAAATAAACTAAACGAATCCTTCTTTTGGTGTGAAAATATATTTTTTTCCAAAGCATTAAGAAGGCCTTATACAGCTCTACTTTGCTCAACATTGATTTAAACTGAAACTATAAGTTTTCTGGCGAGCATGTGCTTTTGTTTTTTAATGTCGTGAAGTTTGTTTGTAAGTGTAAACGGTATGAATCAGTGTTAAGGATATTGAGTTCTTTAAGTTTCTAATTTTTTTTGCTCCGTAATATACGAGTAGTTGGTTTATTTACATTGTAATAACTAAAGTAGAGGAATTTTAATATCTGATAAGGTTAAGACCTAGTAACAAGCATCCTTGTAAAAAAAAAAAAAAAAACCGCCAGCTTATGCCGTTGCCTTGTTTCAGTTTCTTTAATTTTTATCATTTAAGCTTTCATATCGTAACCTAAGATTACTATTTTTATCTATCTTAATTATTTTACTGATTAAAATTTCAGTTGTGAATTCCCTTGAAAATATGAATGCTTACTCAAATGAAAAATTCCAAATGTGTTTTATTTTTTCTTTTAAATTTGATTCGTCAAGGTATTGCGATTGTTTAATGTACGATAACTATAGTAATGAATTTCTCGATTGAGCTTTTTCAAAAATTAAGGCTAGCTGTTAATTACATTTTCTATGTTTTTGAAGCAGCCCAAAAATATATCTAGCGAACTTGAACCATACTATAGAAATTTTCCTTGGAAATACTTCGCTTTTGTATTTTGGTAGAAAATCTAAGTATGTTGCATAAAATTTAGGTTCTATCTTGGGAAAAAATGATGTTTTCTCAGTTTAAAGTATAAAATTTATATTTTTTAAAAATTCTTTCTGTAGTGATAATACTTTTTGTCTGCTCAAAATGTACATTTCCTTTTGACATGAAAGTAATTTAAATTTAGTTAGCTAAACTGTAAGAAAAAATACTGAAGAGATGTTTCATCATAATGCATGAACAGTTTATCTTCTGATCCTACAATTCAGTGTTAAGTATGTCAATAATATATCGGTAAAAATATGTGCTAGAAACAACTAATGGAAGATGGTGTGGTTTTATTTCTTTTTTTTTTTTTTTTAGCTTCAAAATGTTTAAAAAATTTGTATAAATCTAACTGTACTTTAGCAAATTACTGCATGGCTTTTCAGTTAATGCATTTAGTAAGGTTAATCCAGGGATGGGCAAACTACGGCTCACCGGGAAGTCCTATCCGACCCGCGGATAGAATTTAAATTTGTCAGTCTGAAGCAAATTAAAAGAAATATATATTTGTATATTATACATCCATCTCCATTTCTAGTTTGTTTAAATATTATTGTTTTTTTTTTCCTTTTTTCTCAAAGGACTGCTGATTTTTTTTTACTTTCTCTATTTTTGTTCTACAAAACTTAAATCGATGGAAATAGCAAGCAGAGACAGCTTTCAATCGGTAAAGTGTTAAAAGCGGAAGCTCTTTTTTTAATTATAGCTGTAGATTGGCGCCAACAAGGATTATCTCTTTCTCGGGGAGCAGACATTTGGAAAAATGGCA